GAAAAGCTGGGCGCCACAGGCAGAGAGATTGAACTATATCCCAACACTACCACTGATGAAACTTTTGGCAACTTGACGCACGAGAATGGCACCAAGGATGATTCAAATCAACATTTTCATGGTCAGGAATGGCATCATTCTAACTCACCTAAGAACAATTACGAGAAAGATGAAGTTGAAGATGAAGACGAGATTCGTCGGGGGGTAAATTTTAATTTTTTTTTAAATCATAAATTGGAATAGAGTAAAGTGTCAAAATGGTCTTATACATGGGGTTATTTTAGTCCCATAAGATTCTATAAAAGTGTTAAATTAGTGCTTAGACTGTATGAGCTTCAGGGGACCATTTCAGCTCCCGTTAAAGGAGTATGGGAACTAAATGGACATTTTTATAGACTCTAGGGCTAAAATAGCCCTCTACAAATAGTCTAGGGTCTAATTTGACTCTCTTCTCATTTAGTGTGTGAATTTAACTTTTTAAAATTGAGGATCACTCAAACATATTATTGGTTCTTAGCTTTGAGTGAGATCAATGAGCAGATTAATGAGACATGTTTGATTCTAATTGAAGTTGAATTGAGTCGGGAGTGAATCTGATCGAGATTTCTCAAGATTGGATTGAATTTCATTTTCATGCATGTACCAATGTATGAGTGCATAAATACAAATATTTATGTATAGGTTATAATTTATAGTAGGAAGATTTACATGCATACCACTTTATCTTATGTATTTACATATTTAACACAAACTTCAATTTTTACATATATGCCCACCTTAGCTATCATCAGAAATGTATATTTCACTTTTTAAAGGTTAAAATAGTAGTACCTTTGATGCGATATGAAAGATTTGGGTGGTTTAAATGTAAAAAGTAAAGTTTAACTGTTAGAATGTTAATGGATGGCTATATTAATGCATATATTCACCTATATATTTTGACATACATGTCATGTGTGTGCAAAAGCATGCATACGTTGATTTATCCATATGCATGTAGTATAGGTACTTATACGCTAAACTAAAAATTTGATACGAGTGACAATAAATCTCAATACCTTATATCATTTATGATTGCAGGAATTGTCTCCAAGTGTTCAGGAAATGGAACTGTTAGAGAATCAACCTCAGCAAGAGAACCACTCAGCCTTGTGGTTATGCAAAGACCTCTTTCCAGGAGACGAAAAGTCTGTTTGGAATGGACCCCATTCCTTAAACAGAAGGTATTCATCTGCGAGACAGAATAACCCCATTCGAAGTGCTTTGGCAGCATTAATGCAGTGATATTACAGTCTTCTGTTTCTCAAGTAAGCTCATTTAATTGATCAGTGATTTAAATAATTGTCTTTAGAAAATGTTGATCAGAGATTGAAATTCATCATTGCTTGTAAGATCTATATTGAGGTGCAAATATGGTTAAGAGTCATTGTCATGGTTATATGAATTGAGATATCACATATTATCTAAGAATTGTTATTTTAGTTCAGTGAAAAACATATGAGTTTTCAAGCCTATGACTTCAAGAACTTCACGTCTTTAATAACATATATAGTGCTCTCTGGTCTGGGGAATTCTTAGACGCATGAGGGATGGTTGGAGCTCGTATAATAGCCTCCCTCGGGCCATTCCTTTTGTAACTAGGACTAAAAATGCAATAATTTTTTGCTCATGTGCCCTCCATTTGTCCCTTTATTTCCTTAGTAAAACTTCATCAATAACAGTAAGCCTTTTTCTCATAAAAATAAAATAAATGATTATGATTAATTTTTCATAATTTAATGAAGTTGTATTAATTTTTTTTTTTTATATATAATGCAGTTTGTATATTCCCTCTCGGTTTGGAGAAATTTGCATGCATACCACACAGTTCTCATGAATTTACATATCTAATACCCAATATTTGATATTTACACTTATAGTATGTTTGTGTCAAGCCTATAATATTTTAGCATTATGCATATAAATATAAAGTTTTAGGTGTTAGATATACAAATACATAAGTATTGTGTTATATATGTAAATGACCCTTTTTGGTTTAAAAATATGCATTTTATTAGCAGGTTTCATTTAATTTAATTTAAAAATTAATTCAAACTGACCATATTTGTCCTACTTAAATTGAAATAGAGCCAATTTTTTTTTTTAGTTAAAATCAACTAGCTAAAATTAAGTTAGGGTTTGTTTGAGGTAGCAGTAACTTTTCAAAAAATAATCGTGAATCTGTTGAATAATAATGTTATGCTCAAAAAGTTGTGGTGGCTATTATAATTTTTTTTAAAAAAAAAGTCATGCACGCAGCTAGAAAGCTGCTACTGCACATATGCTGGAGTGGTGTGAAAACGTAGGTTTAAGCGCAGATTTTACAAAAAAAGCTGTCAAAACTCAATTTACTTAAACAGACAAAACTGCTGTGCGCAGACCCTCAATAGATAACACATTTGTTAATTATGATTATTATGTGTGAAATTCAACTGGCATTCATGCCATAAGAGTAGTATTCCTCTAAACTAAGGTGGATAAAAAGTTTGATCAAATGCATTGAAACTATTGCTTTATACTGTTTTATTTTAAGGACTTATATATTTATTGGCACATTAAGTAAAAAAGATGAATTGTATTATTTTAGTCCAAGGTCTATCATGATCTTCTTTTCTAATTTGGTATAAAAAGTATGCACTATGTTTCTTTATGATTTGGTGCTTAAAAGAGAGATGTATTCGATCGAAATCGCAGTGGATTCCATATGTATGTATTAATTAATTTTTTTCCTTTTTGTAAATTGAGTTAAATAAATATTTTCTAAGTCGACATATATTATATTTATGTTGTAATATACATGTTAAGTTTTTAAATTTGAAAAAAAAATGAGAAAGTCTTATGAATATGATGAGGGTTCAAGTTTCACTCAATGCACATAAAAAATTTTGGTATTCATTCGTCTTAAGTGGATTAATCACACTAATTAGGGTAGTACTTAAGTTTTCAAAATTGGATGATGGTTGGTGGAAGGGTTGGTGATGGTGCAAGGCTAAGAGAAAATGTTGTTGATCAATTTAATATTTGTTGTTAACATTTTTTTTAGTGGATGACTTGATTTTATTTTTTTGAACGTCCACATAATTAATAAATTTGATTTTTAGCCAATTGGTTATATAAATTAAAAGTTATCATACGAAGTGCTTATATGAGGCGAACAATAGATATTAGAGTTCATGGAATGAATATGGCTTAACTTTTATGAGGGTTTTAAATAGTTGAAGGCTTTGTGAATGTATGAGAACAAGTTTAGAGAAGAGGAGATATGTTAGGGCTCCTAAACTTTAATATGTAGGGTTCCTAAACTTTAATATGTGATTGAATCATAAATTAATCCAAAAATTAGCTTCAACACATTATAGCACATATATTTTGATAGAAATCAAAACAATATTTCTTGTTGAAGTGATGTATTACAGATACTGTGAAGATGAGCGAAACATACAAGAAAATATACCTAATTTTTTCTTGTGAAAATTCTCCTAACACTTCAATTGATTAGCTACTCAACATCTCTCTCAGTCTAAAAGCTAAAACTAGTAATCAATTATAAGGGATTTGATTAATTTTTTATTTGTTCAGCTTGAGTCTTTAATTTAGGTTAATGTTATGTATATAAAATATATTTTTACGCAAAATGTTTCCCCCAAACTCATAAGACCAACTCAAATTCTAAGAAAAAGTAATAACTATTTTATGATTTATTATCTTAAAATTAGGGTTTAGTTGTTGATCTTGTGATGAATCTTCTTGCTTGTCTTGTCATCAACTGGGCAGTGTTAAAACTATTGTTATGAAGTAAGTGGGCTAAGGTTTTGTATGTCTAAATGGTTGGTGCATCTATAAGCTTAAGTAGATCCAATAATGCAATATATGTCATTTATGTGATAATTGATGATGAAAATGCAACCAAAAATTAATTTATATTTTTTATCAAATCAGCTTCTAAGTGAATCCTTTAGAAGAGAAGATATCACATACAAATAAAAAAGTAGTAAAGAATATGTTATGAGGCAATAAAATAAATAGTAAATCTACATGCTACATTCAAAAATGTAATATTTAGTGAAGTCATGACTAAGGATTTAAATTTTAGTTAAAATATTTATTATTATATTCCCTATGTGATCTTTTTTAAAAAATAATTTTAGTGTTATTATCACTATTTAGACCAACTAATTGTAGAGCATGGGAATAATTATTATCTATGTTGTGCTACTAAAAATGAGATATGATATAGTCAATGATGAGTTAAATAAATAAGATTAAGATGCATTAAAAATAAATCATTAATAAAATAACACAATATTGGGTGCTTAATTAGATTAGTTAAATTAGGCAATGGATGTCTAGAAGTTTGATTAAATCTAGAAATTTTTTACACATTGGGACGGTGGCTAATCGTTGGACTCCCTAAGATATATGTTAAATAGAACATAACAGGGATTTGCATTTACAATTTGTAAGTATATCCCTGAGGCCAATGACGAGTTTTGCACCTCCAAGAAAAGTCTAATCAAGTATTCTCTTAAAGTTTTATGTACACTTATAAACTTTTTCAAAAAGAGAAGCCTTATTGTGCTCAAAAGAAGAGAATTTTTTCTATAAAGGTAAAAATAATGATCTACAATAACATTTATGCATATCTCAAATTTATTAAGACATTCATCAATGAACTTATTATATAAGGTACACATAAACCCACACAAATATTCTAAGATCACAATGAGCATATGGCTCTCAATGAAAGACATGCCATATAAGGTTCATTAATAGGGAGAATGAAGTCATAATAAGGTCTAAAGTCATTCAAATATGTTTTTAAAATAGATAGATAAGCTATTATGCTAAACACATTTAATTAAAGGTTTATATTTATATATGCATATTTATGGATAGAATCTAGGTCATCCTTAAAGTATATCTCCTTGACCTTGTTGTTGATTTAAACAAAATTTTCTTAACAATTTTT